GACGCGCAACCTACTAACGCGCCTACGCCCTCGCGTGGTCCAACCAATGACCTTCAAGGTTGCAGCCAACGGTGGCTGCTCGAATGTCTGCTCCCAAACATCACTCAGGACATAGCTCGCCTGGCAGCTAGACGGCAGTCAAGACTTTTCTTAACTCTTGTGTACACAATACATTGTTCCTACTACTCTGGCCTTCCCAAGACTTCTCGCTTTCCCCTCCGCACCTAAAAAACCGGGCCTGGAAGATCGCAGCCGTTAGGGTTAACCTTAATAGCCTTAATACGCCTCAATATATGAACTGAAGTGCATCATAGGCTACAGCAGAATGCCTGCAATATTCGCAAACTTAACCTTTACCCTAATCCCCATGACATCTAGCGCAAGGCTACCTGTTTGGGGGGGTACCTATTCTCATGTCGTAACAAAAACAAGTGTCTGAAAGACTTGGGATAGTGTTGATTGGGTGGCAGCTACCATTCAGTATTGGTAGAAGTCCGGCAAAACGGGTCGGACTGATGATCCGAACACGACAGTTCGGCCGTCGTCTTGAATAAGGTCCAACGTGTGCTTCACAGCAGGATGGTACAGGGACCTTGACTTGCGCGTGAGTGGGTTTTAAGTGGCTTGTGCCGCATCTACCACACCATCTCTTCCTCATATACCTGTATCAAGGCAGAATAACGAAGGCCGGAGGTGGGTTCGGGAGCAGGTGGCTGGCGCGACCGAAGCCACCTTCATGCGTTTACAACGCCCCCTCCCACCTCCCCAGGTTCGACATTTGAATAACTCCTGCTGCACTCTGATCTGATCTCCGTGTTGGCCCACCACATCTATCACGCGGCCCGTTTAGGGGGCACGATTACTATCATTATCCCTATCACCACTATCACCGTCGCGTAAAAAGCAAGTAAATTAAATAAACGATTCAGCGCTTGTATTTTAAGGCACTACGGGTTGTACAAGGAAACGGTCATTACTGAGTCAGAACCTGGCCAAAAATTACCCGTAGTTAGCTGAAACACCAGTGGCTAGATCTGTGTACTAATACAGCTCAGATTTCTCTTGAAAGTTCTTCAAGTAGTTGAGGAAGTGTTCATATTGAATCATTGCCAGTTGCTCACACAGAGACTCCTCATAATCGTTCTTCGGTTTCCTGCATTCTTCGTACTTTCCTACACATTTCTCCATGTCTTCAGGGGCCTTCAGACCTACAGAGTGTTCTGTATATGACATATGTTCTGGCATATGACCAAGGGTCACGATGTCGGTCGCATTCGCCAACTCCGACATTTCCACATTCGGCTCCTCCAACTCCTCCCACTTAGGCTTTTTCAACTCTGGCTTCTCCAACCCTGGCTTCTCCAACTCCGGCTTCTCCAACTTTGGCATTTCCTGTACCCGATCTTCACCGAGGCAACTACAGTTGGTGCATCCGTCGGTGTAATTGAAACCCTTAGTCGCTGGCCTCAAACAGAAGCTGAACTCATGCACATCATCGCAAACAATCTGCCTCTGATGGAGCGCTTGAAGTATAATATCTTCAACTGTCAACAAGGTTGGCTCATAATAATGACTGGCCTGCGCCACAAAGATTAGATAGAATTGCAGTAAGAGCGGGAGAACGCACATTGCGTTTTCTGAGGGCTGTACCGACTGATTGGGCAATTCAAAGGGAAAAATCAATAAATATTGCGTGAAGTGTAGCCGTAGTAGACGGGTTTCTACGTGTCCAAGGCTGGCAGAACCTCTCGCAGTTGACACAGTGACTATGTCAATGGGTACAGCAGCAGCCCTGCTCTACAATGTTCATCTCATACTTGTTTTACTTTCTTGCACGGCGCCCAGCCCACCTCAGGTGACTGATCAGCTAGGCGGTGGCCTGAGGTCGGGTGTCAGCGCATTTTTTCCTCAGTAAAACAATCTGAAGCTATCACAGTGTGCTAAAAGCCGTGACTCGGAGGGTTACCAACTGACGGGATAACTTGGAAACCACAGTCAGTCAAGTGTGGCTTTTATTGTGTGGAGTGGCTTACTGTGGGCTGAGAGTCAGGCTCCTTCTTAATGTGGCCTTTATGGCGCTCCCAGGCGGGAGCCTACCTAGCAGCTGGTGCTCTTATAGCATCTGCTTGAGTGGTCGGCGCACGCCGCCTGCGTCCCCCCCTCATCTTCGGTCCTCTTGAAATTTGTCTTGACATAGGAAACAGGTGGAGGCGTAGGAGCAGAATGAGGTACAGTCCTGCAAGTCCTGCAAATAAATTTCATGACGAAATTTAACTTGATAGTTTGGCATATAGTTGGAAGAATTCTAGAATAAGTAAAAAAGTGGAATAATACTCCCTTCCAGAACTAGAAAATTTTATGCGAAGTTGATAAAATGGAAGTGGAACCAACTTTAAGGAATAGCATTTATTTTCAGAAAAAAGTAACAATTTAAGTTTTAGAAATTACGTTTTGCTATTCTGTTAAGTTTTGTTTCATGAGGTGCAGTAATAAGTTTGTATGACAAAACTGTTTTACTCCACCGATTTCTATGAGCGCATAAGCAAACTTTGCCATATATGTTACCGGGAAGGTAATGTAAAGGAGGCCTTATTAAATGTAAGTCAGGTAGAAATATACATTTTTGTAAACTACACGTTCAACTTATTTGTTAGTAAGAAATGGAACAGACAGAAGAATAATAAATATTTCAAAAAATTGTCATATATGTGGCCTGTTTTTTGCACTCGCAAGTTTATAACGGATCGTGGAAATAATCTCCTTAAGCCGAAAATGATCCGTTATAAAGAGAAAAGTATGTTCTTTCATCTCTAGTCAAATCGAATCGTTTATCTTCAGGTAAATCAAAGAAATTGTCAAAAGTCTCCGATTTCTCTGTGATATAACCTTGGAAAAAGTTAATATACACCGAAGTTCATTAGCTAAATATCCAATAAAAGCACTTTTTAAATAGTTAACCCATTACGGAAACTTTTTTATTAATCTTAGGAATAGCAATGTGCGTGGTATCTAGCCGACTTTTTGTATGCTCGACAATGCGGTTTGCTGTTTTGAAGCATTTCCACATATGACTTACATGGCCATTCTCATAAGAACTAATATCCAAAAGCTCGTTTTTTCGTCGCTAAATGCTGTTCAGTTATATCTTATTTTAAAGGTTTTGATTTAAACGTCGAACAGAAGCGCAATTTATCAACTTATCAATGAAGACACTGGAAACGAGCGAAATGATGAGAGACTTTATTGCATGATATTCAATAAATATTTATCCACTAATGGTTATATGTACAAAATATTTTGACTAAAGACAAGTTCTTTTTATACAAAGAAAGTGGTTGTTATAACGGTGGCCAAGACTGCGATATTCCCGTCTAACGCCTCGTGTGAGCCCCAAAGGAAGAACACAACAAGAAGTGCGTAGAA